GGAGCGCAATCCACGTCCCGAGCAATTGCGATTCCGCGCGAGAACCCCTCAGTCCCGCGGCGCGTCGTGAGCGAAAAAGCGAGCAATCGGCCGAATACTCGGCATACCGTGTCGGGCGCATCGGTACCGACGCCGGCACCGATCGATTTACGATAAATCACGAGAGAGAGAGAGAGAAAGAGAGAGAGAGAGAAAGAGAGGGGGGGGAGAAAGAGAGAGAACCTGGCAGATATGTGTACGTCGCTCGCGGCGTGATGAATCGCGGCACCTCTAGCCGCATCTGCATCCACACGTCTCTCTACCTCGCATACACACACGCACACGCACGCGTGCAGGCAGGCGGCCGTCGACGTCGCGTTCTCGTTCGCCGGCGCGTGTCCACAATTGGGAAAAATCGCGGTTCCGGCGGAACGTGTTCGAGGGCCGAAGCCGGCGAGGAGAGGCTCGCCGCGGCGGCGAGGTCGATGTCCGGGCGCAACAAGTGCGCTCGGGACTCTCTCTCTCTCTCTCTCTCTCTCTCTCGCTCCCTCCCCCCTCTCGCTCTCTCCCGCTCTATCTCTCTCTCTCTCTTTCTGGACGCGTTCGCGATCGGCTTCGATAACGCCACGCGACTTTCGACGGCGCGGCACGGTCGACCGGCCGACTCGTTCGCTCGCTCAGCGCGAAGCGTCGACCTCCGAAATACGCTCGAGAGAGAGAGAGAGAGAGAGACACGCGCGTCGCGGCGCTCTGGCTCGGTCGTGGGCCATGCGCACGGATTTAGAGACGGCCGTAACGAGAGCGCCGGAAGCCGAACGACCTTTTTGAGGTTGCGCCGTGGTGCGCAAAGTTTGCGCTCTCGGGAGAGAGAGAGAGAGAGAGAGAGAGAGAGAGAGAGAGAGAGAAAGAAAGAGAGAGAGCCCAGCCGGTTCTGCGCGGCGCGTCAAGCGACGCTCAAGTGCGATTGGCCGTTTCGGCTCTTTTCGCCCGGCGAAGCTCCGAAAACGCCTCCGCTACTCTTCGTCTCGTCGTTAGCTATCGATCGCCGCTGCGGGAAGGCAAATGGCAAAAGGAGCGGAAGAGAGAAGCGCGTAGATCGAACTCGTCTCCGACGCTCGGCGAATCGCTCGTCGCGGAGCGTCGGAGCAACATTTTTCAGTCATCAATCGCCGGACGAAGATCCCACCTTTCTCGCGAGACACGCGAGGAAACGTAAATAAGGAGAGACTCGGCGCGCGCGAACTGTCTCTCCTTTTCCCTCCCTCCGTAACTTTCGGCGAATTCGGCGGCTCTCGCGGGGAAAAGAATCTCCTCCGTCGTCGATTTCGAAAGCGCTTCGCCGATGTCGATACTGGAACAATATCGATGTATTATGAGCATCCCTAGGCGCGCCGCGCCGCGGAGCCTCGGGTTGAGCGCGAGAGGTCGACGTCCGGGCGCGCAACAAGTGCCGCACTACGTACACGTACACACGTACCGCTGTCCCCCCCTCCTGCTGCCTCACCCCCGGCCGCCCCACATGAACACACACAGACACACACGTACCAAGAGAGCGAGCGAGAGAGAGAGAGAGAGAGAGAGAGAGAGAGAGAAAGAGAGAACCCACCTCCCACCTCGCACGGCCACCGCAACGGGTCCCTCTTCACCCTCCTTCTCGAGGGAGGCATTCCTCCGTCTCTGTCTCTCCGTCGCTCGCGCGAACTCCCTTTGCTTCTCTTTGCGCCACCACGACCGAGAGAAGGTGAGAGGGAGAGAGCGAGCGAGCACGAGTGAGAGACAGGGAGGAAGAGAGACGAGGAGAGGGCAAATCACGAGAACGACAAACGGGAGAGACGAAGCGAGACAGAAACGGGCAACATCGGGACGCGGAACGGAGGAGGAGGATGAGCGAAAGAGAGAGAGAGAGAGAGAGAGAGAGAGAGAGAGAGAGAGAGAGAGAGAGAGAGAGAGAGAGAACGCGTGACCGTGCTCCTCCGCGCGCGCACACCACGCACCGTCGTCGGTAAATATAAAACTGCACTGGGTCAGGGATCCGTGATTTATCGGCTGCCTCGTGTAATTGGCCGCCGGCCAATAGATATATACCCCCCCGGGTGCACCGAGGGGGGGGGGGGACGGTGGGCGCGGAGAACGCGTTAGCTGGCTCTAAGAGTTCGCGCGCCACCCTCCTCTCTCTCTTTCTCTCTCTCTCTCTCTCTCTCTCTCTCTATATCTCTTTCTCTTCCCTCGTTTTCGAATGCGCTACTTATTCTCCTACGCGACGGCCTCAATCATCGATTACGAACCTCCGCGGCATTGATTCACCTCGGGATCGCGTCGGCCGACGAGGAAGGAAGCGACGTGCTCTCCTCCGGCCGCCGGCCGAGCGTGTTCTCCGACGATGTTGCAGAAGACGCACGCGAGATGTTCGTTAGGCGCGTCGAATCAGAGCTCTGAAGTTTTTCCGTCGAACATTGCACGCTGCGGACACTCTTTATGCGTTTGTGCGAATTACAGATCTCCCACCCGGTCCCCGCCTTCCTCGTCTCTTCTTCTTTGATAAATGAAATCTCGCGAGAGTTAATTGGCGGTTGCGGGGCCGCTTAGAATTTACGAGGGGCGCCCAGGCGCTTCGGAAGGCGCTGTCGCGCTCGCAGTAATTTCACACGACGCTCGCGCTAATGTGAGCGAGGGAAGGGGTTTCTCTCTCTCTCTCTCTCTCTCTCTCTCTCTCTCTCTCTCTCTCTCTCTCTCTCTCTCTCTCTCTCTCTCGCGCGCGCGCGCGCGCGAGCAAGTGCTCGCGACATTGCAGATATCGCGTATGTACATACATGTGTGCGCGCGCGGGAAAGATAGCCGTGGAAGAGGAAACAATGGGCAGCCTCTACGGGGCCGCGGTCGGAGTCTCACTATGCACGCGAGAACGGTTGACGCACACTTTCGCGGAGGTCAAATTCCATGCGCGACTAATGCTGGTGCGTTGCCGCCGCCGCCGCCGCCGCCGCTGCAGCGACCTTCGTGGTATTTGTTGGCCGTAAATAAAGTGCGCCGGTATCTGCTGGAATATAGAACCGCGGATGACGCGAGCGCGCGCGATTAGGTGCGAGGAGGATGCGCGATAGATTCGCGCCGTTGGCGTGTTTCATCTGGCGAAATCGCGCGACGAGCCGCGGCTCGACGACGAGTCGTCCAGTCTCTTCGACTACGGTGCGCGCTTCGGGCGAGCCTAAGTAAGACCCTCCTCCGTGGGTGGGAAAAATCGGGGGGTCGTGGTTGACTGCGAATCTGCGACTTTCAACTTTGCGCGCATCTTCCTGTTTCTCAAAGTGGGAATCTCAGACGGAAGCGAGCGCGCGGTGTTTTCATGACCGCCTCGAGCGGAAATGTCACCGCTCTCGAAGTCGCGTGTGAGTGAAGGTCTCTTCACGCTCAAACTTGAGGCGGGTCCCGACTCTGTTCCCACCGAATGATCCAATCGCTTGAAATTGCACTCGCTGAAATTTCGAGCGACGGTTTGATCAAAGCCTCCGCTCGGTGCGGAGCCGCGCTCTTGAAGAGCGCGATTTCGCCGGGGCGGGTGCGGGGGAAAATGGAGATCGGCTTGATTAAAGGTGAGGTGTCGGGATTAATGAAACTGCTAATCGCGGTTGAAACGCGGACGCGGGCGCGGGATTTCCGGGTGCAGCGGGTCGTCGCGCGCGCGATGCCGCATTGAAATTCGATACTACGAGCCGCCACTCACATGAATGAAGTCCCCACGTGCGCCGCCAAGCAGCATGCGATCGCCATCTCGTGCGAGACGTGCGAAAGCTGCGCGCGCGCGCGCGCGGCCGCGCACATCTGGGACTTCCGCCGCGGTGTCTTTTACCTTGGTGCGGTAAAAATCGCTGCCTCGACGATGATCCCGCGACGGCCGGCGTGCTGTCCGTCTGAAACACATTGTGATGCTTGAGCGAGAAGCACACACTTTTGCATAAAGGCATAATACACAACACATAAGAAAATGTACCACAATCAGAGTCTTTAATTTCCAGCATGGCAATGGAAATAAAGAATCTAATTGATCGATGATTTCTTGGCGCATTGTGTATTATGCCTTTATGCGAGAGTGTGTGCTTCCCGCTTTAGTAGTTGTCAAAGCCTCGTTACCACGGCTGTCATACCCACGAGTATGAAGTTTCGCGTGCATTCTCCCCCGACTTTTTTGTCACACAATTATTTTTCACATTTTTCAACGTGCCCGCCGTGCCGGTTGAATCTTTGATACTCGTCGAGTAGTCGTCTGTCAAAATCGATTTTTGCAAATTTTCATTAGGGATTATACATCATTACTATTCTCATCACTATTCTCAGAGTCAGAGCAGACAGAATTGGGTTGCGCGTAAGTTAGATTAGGTTAGGTTAGGTTAGGTTAGGTTAGATCGGGTCACACGTGCTTTAACTGAGGCTACGATCCGATTGAAAGTCGGCGTGATACACACTTGCGTAATACACACTTGCGTTGGCGCGATGTATCCCTTCAGGGTGGATTCAAATTTGCTGACATTGTCGTAGACTGGCGACTTGTGAGACAACAATCGTCCTTTCGTCGAGTACAATGCTTTCAGCGGGTCGAACTTGTCGCTTCTCGCGTCCAAACTTTCGTCCGATTCTTCGCTGCTATCTTTATTGTCTGTCATTATGAAACACTTGTTCCACTCGCGCACAATCCGTCAATCGACTCTCGCTCGCGTTGCAACACACGGCGTCACGCGGACGTCATCTTGCACTTTGGTGCGCAGGAGAGGAGCAGAGAGTGCAGTACTGTCGCAGACGACAGTCGCGAAGGCGGGAAAGTTGAAAGCGGGAAAAGTCTCGTCGTCCAAATTTCATCGTATCGAAGAAGAAATGAAAATCATCGGCGCGTGTACGTGGTGCAAATTTTCTCGATATATCGCATTCTCTCTCTCTCTCTCTTTCTCTCCCTCCCTCCCTCCCTCTCTCCCTCCCTCTTTCCTTTCTTCTACTTTCTCTCTTTCTCTCGCACACGACTTTCCTATTATTTCGCTTGTAAAAAAAGGTTCGTGCTAGTACGATCTATGTGTGGCGACGACGAGCGATATTCGGCCGAGATAGACGAGAGAAGAGGATGTTAACCTCTCCTCGTGGAAACTTTCTTTCGCGGCGGCGGGTTACGTAAATGCAACGCCGCGTCGTAGTAGAAGCTGCATAGAAATGCAGCGGCGGCGGTGGCGGGGGAGAGCGCGAGGTTACGCGCACAGGAAGTGAAACAGCTCTGCGAAGCCAGAAAGAAAGTTCTCGCTTCGTGTTTTCACTTTCATGGAAATTGCCGGCATATTGCCTCGGCCCCTCTGGCCCCTCTTCACTTGACGACGATGGCATTACGCGAATTAGCCACGAACCATCGACGTCGTTGGTCGCGCACCGACGAGCAGCCTCGTGAGCTTAACGATCAGAGAGGCCTCTCTTCGGGGCAAAAATCTGCAAAATAATGAAGTTGTGCCTTCGACAGACATCTCTTCTGCATCTCTTCCCCGGATGCAATCGGTAATTGGGCATGCCCTTAAACGAAAAAATAGAAAAAAAAATTAAAATGTAAAACTTACAAATGCGGGCAGATTTTTTCTTTCATTTTAATATATTAATAGTGGTTAATTGTATCTTTGTATCTCCCGAAGAGATTGTAAATATATCGTAAATTCGAGGAACCGCGCTATCCCGCGGAATCAACTCGGTAGACTCGATCAGATTTCACATGCATCTGACTTGGTGATCTGAAATTCGCACGACGAAGCGCGAGAGAGAGGGAGAGAAAAAGATCCGTTTCCTAGCTGCGCTTCCCTAACATTTTTCCGCACAGTGTTACATCGCGGCACTAAATTCATGCGGGTGCTTGCACTACACGCGGCCGGAGAAAGTAACATGATAATCAAGCTGTGCGATTTAGCCGAGTTGAAATCAGAATCCGAATGAAAGTGCGAACGCGTACGGCGCACCGGAAGTCGTTGCGGGGGGGAGGGGGAGGGGCCGCCGAGCAAGATCTCGTTTCGCTCTTAATTAAACCGCTCGAACGCGCCTCGGCTTCTTCCGTGAAAATTCGCGCGTGGAGGACTTTGGCAGGCGGTCTCTTTCTTCTTCTTCTTCACAGGAATTCATTGCGAGCCGAGTCTGACGTTGGCGCGTTTGTGTGCCTTTTGTTTTCCAGGGGAACGACACGAGCGCGTAGAGGAAGCTGAGAACGAGCAACGTTCGGTTGCTGTACACGCGGCAGGCGCAAAGGCGGGGTAGTTCCCGGAGGTGGTTTTGGATGTTAGAGGGCGCGGGGGTGGCTAAAGTGGCCCCGCCGCCGGATACGGGTCCCGATGCCGGTCCCCGTATCGCAAACCCTCACGCTGACCACCACCCTCGTACCCAAGGAGGAGTCAAACATGCCCTTCATAGACGACGAGTTACTCTGGTGCCCTGACAATGACGGCAAGATGGTCGATCTAACCCAGTGCCTTCAGGTGAGTCGAACATGAGTCGACCATCCGCGGATTTGCAAAATCTCGAAAAGTCGACATTTCCGACTCCGTTTCTCGGAGACTCCTCGGAGATCCTAAGACTTGCTGTTGGTGAAATTTATGACTTATCATCGACTCGAGATACGAGCTACGAGTACTTTAACGAGCGAGCGAGCGAGAGAGAGAGAGAGAGAGAGAGAGAGAGAGAGAGAGAGAGAGAGAGAGAGAGAGAGAGAGAGAGAGAGAGAGAGAGAGAGAGAGAGAGAGAGAGAGAGAGAGATCTGCCGACCAGAGCAGATAAGCACGAGAGTTCCTCTCGTCATTCTGAAATCTCGTGTGCCCGCAGGAGAGCAACACAGGTCAGCCGGTGGAGTTCTCCCCGATGGAGTTGAGCGCTCTAGTTGGAACGCCGGCGGCGTCGAATGTGCCGGCGGAGGAGGGCGAGGGTATGCCCGGTGTCACAGGAGAGGAACCCTTCGATCCCCTGGATACATTCCTGCGGGAACTATCGGTTGACCTGCCTGAGCCTAGTCAACCGACCTCCACCACGACTTCCGTAACTTCCTCCTGTAGGCGGCAGAGGTACAACATCGCCGCTGCGAATCCTCTACTAGCAGGTGATTGTCGCGTATATCTTGCTTTCCAATCCCCAGAAGGGAGGGTTCTCAAACGTCTTCGAGACGTCTAAAGGATCCAAGTGAGATACTTGGATTTGTCTTCAGAGCTCGAGATGTTAGTGTTGGACTTGGTCGTTGATATCAAAATAAAAATGATTCCACAAACTTTGCATACGACGTTGCATTCAGATCTGAGTATCTCGCGTGAGAGACAAGATTGTTGCTAAACGCACTTGAAACACGCGCGTTGCGCGGAACGTTCCGTTTCTACCGTTACCTCGCGACATCTACAATAATCGTCCTCAACGTTGTGTGTCCAGAAAAGTTGGCGGCATCCTCGACGCAGGCGTCTCCGGCTTCCATCCCGTACGTCGCGCGGACGGAGATCAAGACGGAGAACATCCAGCCAGAGCCGAGTAAGGGTGAGTCGATATTTTAACGACATTAAATCTCTCTTCTATTCCGACGCATGTCGGTACGACTGCAAAATTGCGCGCCGCAATTACCGCTCGCTGCTCGATGCACGACTTTCATCGTCTTACCGACGACAGGACTCGCGGTCGGTAAGACGCGCCTTCGCCGAGATCTTACTTGCCGACGACAGGGTACAATCTTCTTTACCGTCGAGTAGGGAGCGCTCGCCTCAGTCCGCCATGTTGTCCGCCACGTTAGTCCGAAAGGAAAACCGGCCAAGGCCCCGCGAATCGCGAGCAGACATCCGCGTTAGCGATAATCTCGCGCGTGTGCGTTCTCGCGTATGGTGACACGGGAAAAAAAACAACGAGCGATGACGTGCGGCCGCGTACGCTGGCCCAATTCTTGCAATTTGCGAGCGTGTCGTAACGCGGCGCAACTTAGCAGCCCCGACATGCCTAAGGACGTCCGCAAAAATGGCGCCGTTTTCGTGGCATACCCGTGGCAGCCCGGGAAACGTCGACGGGTTCGTTTCGCCGCACACTTGTGCATACTTTACGCACTTAACCTCCCGAGGAATGCTGATACGTACGAATGCGCGTACGTTGAGACAACTTTTCTCATTCAAACGTTGCCGACAAGGTTATAAAACGCGAACCGCGTGAATAAACATCCGCGACAAAATGATACGAGAAAAAGGCAAATCTAGTCACAAGATTGACAAAGGTCATGTTATTCGGATCATTAAATCGAGATAAAATCGTTTGCTTTTGATTTTTATAAATTCGTCCCTGAAGAGGTTAAGCGTACGCAACGTCGTCGAGAGAAAATAACTTTCCGCCGTAAGTTTCATTTTCAATCAGACTATTGCATTTAATAATTTTCTTGAAAGAAACGCCAAGTACGGAGTGTTGGCGAGAATGTGTGACTCCTCTCGCAAATATTAAATATATATGTATATATATATATATATATATATATATATATATATATATATCGTAAGACGGAGGTAAATACCTGTTCGCGGCACGTTATTCGATGAACACGGACGCGTGCTCGCATTAATTAACGGATCAATTGACAGTAAGAAGCCGGCAGAGATTTGTATGAAAAATTTGTCGTTGTTTTGACATGTGCAAGATTTGTTGCGCCAAAATCCAATTTCCAGGCCGACAAGCGCGCGGCTTCTGTTTACGCCCGGTATCTGTAATTTTATCGTAAAGCGCGCGACTTCGTAAATATTAATCAACGGGATATATGTGTGTGTGTGTGTGTGTGTGTGTGTGTGTGTGTGTGTATATATATATATACGCGCGATAGCATTCGAAGCTTTGTTTTTCGCCCGGCGATTTTCGTTGTTTCTCGATAACAGCCGCAGCGACACTCGCTCGTCGATCGGCCGTCCGGATTTTTTGCCCGGCCGATCTCGGCGCGCCGCCGGTTTTGTCGGACTTCTGACGAGGCGGAGTATCGCCTTGCAATTTCGTCCTGACCGCAGGCCGCGACGAGTAATTACGAGCCGTTAGAACACGAATTGAAGTGGGTGCTCATCGTTGTTCTTTTCACATTTTTAGAAAGCGGTTGGAAAGTGAGAGACGAAACTTTCTAACAAAACTATTACAAATACAGCTCGAAATCTGTTTACGCCCCGCGTAAGTGTTATATTTCGTTTATTCCGCTGCGCCCGCGAAGAACCCGCGGAACCGCGGACGACATTGTTTTCCGACTCGGAATGTGTTTACACTCCGCTTGCGCGGAAACGCGCGCTCCGATTATCGGCGACAGTTGTTCGTGTATTTTCCAACGAAACCGTATTCCGCGTCCCTTAAATGCTCGAAATTTCGCGTAAGCCGTAGTAACGCTGAACCGCGACCGGCGGAAAACCCAACATGATTTTGGAAACAGTGAAAATAGTATTTCACTTTCGGCCACCGGCTTGCAAAACTTTGGCCTAGCCGCGAAAGAGAGAGAGAGAGGGGGGGGGAGGGAGAAAAGGTTTGCAAAAACATTTCAGATAGAAAAGAGACTGTCGATATTTTTATACTTGGCGCAAAAAGCCGAGCGGAAGATCACGATATACATGTTACATGCGTGTACGAATAGAATATAGCCCGAAAAATATTGCGCGGAAATTCAACGTATTAAAACCGCGTATCGAATATATAGAAAGGGGATAGAAAGAGAGGGAGGGAGAAAGAGAGAGAGAGAGAGAGAGAGAGAAATATGAGACGTACTCGCGGATTAATTTATGCCAGCGTTTTTGTCGCGGCATCCGCGATTTATATTTCACACGAGAGGCAACCTGTCGCTCCGTTTCTCCCTCCCTCCCCCCGCCCTCCTTCCGCCTCGCTCGGCCGTCTTAATTCGAAGCTGCGTTTCCGTCGTTTGTAGATTTATCGGGAGACGCGAAAACAGAGATTAATTGGGGCCTTTAATGTATCGAGGATGTCTCGCGTTATCCGGCAGATTTCGATCTGCCAGCCAAGCGATACCTAGTGAACTCGTTAGCCGAGAGCGGGAGGAAAGCGAGCGCCGTCTGTGCGAGAGCGTGTGTACGCGTATACACAGGCTAGTTTTCTGGCGTGTCGAGTGGCGTGTGTCTTCGGCATGAGCATCACTTTCACCGAGTCCCCGGTGCGTAACGCGCGCAAAAAGCGAATTTTCACGCGAGACGCTTCATTACACGCACGCCTCGCGCGACCGGACGGACGCGCGAGGCGTGCGCGCGCGCGTGTCGACGCGCGGATTTTCATACGCGAACGCGTGCGTGCGTTTTATTACATTTCGCAGCGTGTCGCTGCGATATTCTCTCTCTCTCTCTCTCTCTCTCTCTCTCTCTCGCGAGAGGTTCTGCTCAATGATTGACCTCTTCCGAGACGACCACGATCATGACGACCACGACTACGACGACGACGACGACGACGACCAGCACGACGATGAAGAAACCGCCGAGCGCGCTCGTGAAAATAGAAGTAGGGCAAAAGAAAGTAATCTCGCGTTAAATGTTGGAACGCGAATAACTATATAATTCACTTTCGACTCGTTCCGTTCCGACTAGAGCGACCAGCTCGGTGCAACACGCGCATTTCTTTCGACGACTTTCGCGATTCGCTAGATCATCGGGAGCGCGCGAGCAAAAGGCGATCGCAGAATAACCTTAGCCGGAAATCACACGACCTCGCAAGATCCTCCTCCGCGGCTCCTGCGCGAGCGGATTATTCTCGTCGTTCTTCGCAGATTTTTCATTCGTCGAATCGCCCGAGACCGAGGCTGCGATTCCCCCGGAGCCTGGTCGTCGCGAGCCACCACGTGGCCGCCGTCGAGAGTCCTGGAGAATCCGGGGGATCCTCTCGCCCGCGGATTCTACACCCCACGGCGGCGGCGGCGGCGGGATTCTACCGGGATCACGGATTCTAGGTTCCAGCGATATATCATAGTCCTCCTCGGGACAGGGAGCCGGGATGCCGCGGATGCTCCGTTCCAAAAGCGCTCCTCGCGTCGCGTCCTCGCGCGTCGGGAACGATCCGGAGAATGGAATTCGTCTCGATAACGCGCGAGTGCATCTCCGACAACCTCCGCGCGCTCGCTGCGTCCCCCACCGGCCCCCCTCCGGTCTCCATCCTCGTTGCATCTATCCATCCAGCTGTCCTCCGCCCGTCCGCTGCACTTGTCGCTACCCTCGTTCCCTTGACCCTCCCTAAACACATAAATTTCCCCTCGCCGCCCCGGGGTCGTCTCTGTTTCGCTCCCTCCCTCCCTCTCTTTCTCTCTCTCTCTCTCTCTCTCTCTCTCTCTCTCTCTTTCTCACCGCCTATGTCGCCGCCGCCGCCGCCGCCGCCGCTCCTCGTCCTCATCCGTCTGTTAATGCCCGGTTGGGGCCCCACGGAAATAGATCCGAGATCCCCTGCACCGACTTTCTCCGCTTCCTCGCCTGAGCAGCCTGTAACAGGTGCAGCGAGAGCGCAAGGATATTGCGTCGATGTATCTTCCATCGACTCGTGGCTGGCGAGGGTGCGCGGCGCGAGACGCGTGATCGATGAATCCTCGCGTCGCTGCGAGGGAATCTCTCGCACGACCTTTCATCAATGCGCGTCCTTAATCAATACGACTGGTATATTTAACGTGGTCTCATCGATCGTACGAGCCGCGCACGAGTCGCGCGACGAGCAGGTTCCTCATTAACGTGCGTACCGCCGCGCGGTACGCATGAGCGTTCCTCATGAGCGGCCGAATAACGCGCTCGAGACGCGCGCGGCCGTCGCGCGGCTCCGTCGGACAGAAAGCCGCGGGCTTTTAATGAAGCGCGCGGACGCGCTTCGATGTTCCGTAAAGTCATCGGCGCTCGCTCGCGTATATCGATCGCTAATTATAGACTCCGGCGCACTCGCGATAATCGTAGTTACGCCTCTCCGCGACGACGAGTGCGCGCCAAGAAGTTATATTTCCTCCGCCGCGCCGGCCGATGCTATCAGCCGTGCTCGCGCTCGCGTCCGAGAGAGGAGAGCAATTGTTCGATATACCCTCCTCAAGCATCGCGCGTTAGGCAATCGCGTGGGAACGGACGGGGCGAGGGTTAATTGCGAATCCGCGGAGGGGAGCGCGGTGGATCTAAGTAATTCTATGCTAATTGCCCGCCCCGTCCGCGCGGTCTCTCTCGTGGCGCTACTCGCGAAACTCGCGAGAGCCCTCGCTGATCGAGAGCTGATAACTCGCTTTTCAAGCGATTCCACTTTCTGCTCCTCGCTCGCTCGCTCGCTCGCCCGCCCGACCGACCGCCCGACCGACCTTTTACGCTTTTCTGGGTTTCGCCGTGGTAGACGTCACTTTAAACGCCGCGGAGCGGAGCTCGCTTGCGTGCGCGCCACGCTGAATCCCACGCGACACGCTGCGCTTGCTGCCACACTTTTGCGCTGGAATTTGCGCCGCGCTGCAACTTTCTTGCGGACTTTTACTCACGTGGACCCCGTTGCATCGCGAATCCCGCGAATCCGCCCATCGCGTCGGCGTG